TTCTATTTATCTTCAGATAGACTGGGAGGGAGGGATGGAGAGAGAGAAACATCAATGCGAGAGAGACACATTGACTGGCTGCCTCCCACACGACTCCGACCAGGGCCGGGGATGAACTGCAACCGAAGTAGTGCCCTTGACTGGAATCGAACCCGAGACTCATTGGTCTGCGGGCTGACACTCTAACTGTTGAGCCAAATTAGCCAGGGCCCAAGTTCTTCCTTCCATCACAGGCCTCCTATATTGCTGCCCTGGGCAGGAAGTCCAAGCATTATTGCTTGGTGTTTGAGGCCTTGGTTTTCCTATGGCATTTTTCAAAGCTTCACCCACACCCATCTGAGTCTTGCTGAAGTTACTGCAAGACCCTGAGCATTTTCAGTTGTGGAGGGCTTTGCAAAGGGTTCCCCTCCCTATGCTCCATGACACCATCCTCTCCTGGTTTGTAGACTCTTGGACCTAAACGTCTCCCTGGGGGGCCCTTCATGCCCACAGGTTTCCACTGAATTCAGTATATTTTCCTAATCTCCCTCTTTTCCCAGGTTCCCTTTTGTCCACTCAGTCACTGGGCAAGACCCAGGCACTTGTCAACAAGTGCCCATCCCCAGTCTCCATCCCTCTTTCTCCTGTTTTCAGACCCCTGAATTGGCACATTCTCTCTTCTCCATCTTCATGGTTTGAGCTGGTTCAGCTTGTGTCCTGTCCCTGGGCCTTCATTGAGCCTCCTCTTTGGCCTCCAGTCTCTATCTTCCAGTCTGTCCCCCTTTCATGGCCCCAGAGGGGTCTTCCTGTATCCAGAGCTGACGCACCCCTCCCCTTCTTACAGCCCTCTCATTCTACCTGTCCCTTCATCAGATCCAGTGTTCTCAGTTTAATGAAGAATCACCAAGATGAATTAATGCCCAGGAGCCGCAGGGGAACCAGGGCCTGGGGACGGCCCCCAGAGCATAAGGCAGGGTTGGGTGCCTGGGACCTGAGGGAGTGTCAAGGCTGTGTTCCCCTAGACCCTAGGGTTCTTTGGGGGTTGAAGGGTAGAGGAGTCTGAGAAGAGACAGGAGGGTGGTGACTGGGGAGCAGTGCTAGGACAGGGAAGGAAAGAAAAGTGGGCCTGGTGCTGGTTGTGAGCTTTCGGAAGTGCTGCTGGTTCTGTGCCTCAAGCATCTCATCTGTAGAATGGGCACAATCATTATGTCTACCTCAGAATGTTGTCACAAGAATTAAATTGATGAATATGCAGAAAGAGCATGGAACAGTGTCTGGCCTTTAGGAAGGTTGCATTTTATTTTGTAATCGGAGTAGTCATGAATGTAAGTACAAGTGACAAACAAAGCTAAATGACATAATGTTTGGAAATATGGAGAGGAATTGAGAAACATATATCTAGAGTGAGAATTTTTTTAATTCCTCTCAGAAATTGACAATCTTTAAATTCAAGAAAAAAGACTCAATAACACCACCATATAAGGTTGAGTGTGTATATACATAAAGACTCATCTCTGATTCTACCAAAAAAAAAAAAATCTATTCTTTTCCTTAAACCATGTTCAGTTACAAAAGTGATTATATACTTGGCCACAAAGAAATCATTTAAAAAAATGAAAAAGTTTTCCTGGCCAAAGAGTCGTGGGTTTGATTCCAGTCAAGAGCACATACCTCACATGTGATTTGGTCTCTGGCCCTGGTCGGGGTTGTGCTGGAGACAACCAATAGATGTGTCTCTCTCTGTCTCTTTCTCTCCCCCTTTCTCCCACTCTTTCTGAAGATAAAATGGAAAAATATCTTCAGGTAAGGATTTAAAAAAAAAATGTTGAGTTTTCACAGTGTATCAACTCCTCTCATATTGCATAAAATACTTTCATGTTGATATTTTAGTGCTGGCCTGTCCAATATGGCAGCCAGGCCTTGGGCCTTGGACCAAAGAGTCTCGGGTTTGATTCCCAGTTAGAGGCACGTACCTCAGTGCAGGTTTGATCCCTGACCCTGGTCAGGGTCGTGTAGGAGGCAGCCAATCAATGTTGCTCTCATATAGATGTTTTTCCCTCTCTCTCTTTCCCCCTCTCCCTGCAGCACTCTATCTTAAAAAAAATCAATGGAAAAATATCCTTGGGTGAGAATTAAAAAGAAAAAATATGATAGCCAGTCTTCTCATGTGGCCATTGAGCATGTGAGCTGGGGCAGGTCTCAGTTGAGATGTGCTGTCAGTGGGAAATACACACCAATTCTTCAAAACATTGTAGTGGTGCCAGGCCGGTGTGGCTCAGTGGTTGAGTGTTGACCCATGCACCAGGAAGTCACCAGTTCGATTCCCGGGTGGGGCATATGCCCAAGTTGTGGACCCAGTCCCCAGTGGGGGGCATGCAGGAGGTGGCCAATCGATGTTCTCTCTCATCAATGTTTCTATCTCTCTCTCCCTCTCCCTTTCTTTCTCTCTAAAATCAATAAAGAAAAAAAAATATCTAGGGAAAAAAGGATGTGAAATACCTTACCAAATAACTTTAAATATTGACTGTTTGTTGAAATAGAACTGTTTAGAATAATATATATATATATATATATATGTATTCAGTTAAATAAAAGATATTGGGTTAAATAAAATTTGTGATTTAATTATTAATTTTTTGATAATGATAACGTTACTAAAATTAAATCTAGTCAAATTATTATAGAGAACAGATTAGTTGTTGCCCTGGATTAGGGATGGGAGTTGTTAGGAGTGGGGTGGTCAAGTTGAGGATCTTGTTTATGGTCCTGATATACACAAAGATACATGTGTAATAAAATTTCACACACACACACTCAGACACCCACCCACACAAATTTACAGATTAAGGGTTCAGTTGTGTCCCTCAAAATTCATATGTTGAAATCTTATTCACTATCTTGGAATATTACTCTATTTAAGGAAAGATCCTTAAAGAGATAATCAATTTAAAGTAAGGACATTAATAGCAGGATCCCTTCCAATATGACTGTTATCCTAATTAATGGGAAATCTGGACACAGAGATATGCATAGAGAGAAAATGTACTAACTTTTTATTTGTGGGAACAATGTTAATGAGAAATAATGACTTGGGCCTATTTCTTGCTTATCTGCAGTTAAAAGCATACATTTTTTTCATGAAGATTCAGGGCTGCTCTAAGGATTTATTAGAGTGAATCTGCTGTGTTTCAGGAAATTCTTTGTATTTCTTTCATAATAACTATATTTGTTAGACTCTATCGAATTTGGGGGCTTATGAGCATTAACTTAATCATATTTTCTCCCTTTAACAATATGACTATTAAATCTATAGATTTTAAACTTTTGTGTTATAATAAGTACTTTTAATGTATAAAACCTGTATAAATCCAGGTTCAGAATACTCACAATGTAGTCAAACCCACACGAACAAAAATTAGAGCAAAGATTAGTGTTGCCAAAGGCCAGGGAGACTGGAAATGGGAGTTGCTATTTCATGATACAGATTTTGATTTATCAAAGATGAATAAATTTCAGAGATCCACTGTACATCTTTTTGCCTGTTGTTAATACTATTGTATTGTGCTCTTAAAATTTTATTGAAAGTGGCCCAGCTGGTTTTGCTCAGTGGATTGAGCATCGTCCATGGACTGAGAAGTCCCGGTTTGATTCCTGGTCAGGGCACATGCCCAGGTGCGGGCTCGATCCCCAGTAGGGGGCTTGCAGGAGGCAGCCAATGGATAGTTCTTTCCCACATTGATGTTTCTATCTCACTCCCTTCTTCTCTCTCTAAAAAAATCAATGAAAACATATTTTAAATTTTTTTTTAATTGAAAGTGTTGATCTCGTGTGAAGTGTTCTTACTAGATTAAATCAATAACTACAACAACAGTTGAAATGTATTTGGCGGTTAATTGGAGAAAGTAAAATGAATGGGGTATGAATAATCTCATACCTTGACAGGCTTCTAGAGTATGCTCCTTTGGTTCATTTTCAAACAAAGCTGTGATGGAACACCTTTCTGTTGCTTGTTCCCTAGGAATTGAGACCACTCACTTGTGGACAGGGGATAAGGCAGTGGACTGTGGCCTGTGGGAGGAAAGAGGGTGAAGAGAGAGAGACTGAGGATAGATTGGGAAGTATTCTGAGGGCAGGATTCTCACAGAACCCTGTTGTCACCACGTGATTTCTCTCCCTTTTTGCATCTGCACAGTACCTAAGGCCCTGGCCACAACCATTTCAGGACAACCCCACCTCTAGGAATCCACCCAGGGTGCCTGTGCTCTAGAAGATCCTACCCCAACCCGTCACACTACTCGGGTCTCAGGTGTGTTGAGTCTAGTGTCTCTAGCCCACTGCTCCTGAAAGCAGGTCAGCTCCACCAGGAACTAGCGGGAGATGCCATTTCATGGGCCTTACTGCAGACCTACAGAATCATAACTTTTCAGATCGCGGCCCTGATACCCAAGGGTTCTGTGTGCATGTGAAAGCTGTAGAAGAAATGCTTAGCTAAGTGGCCCCCTTCCATTAGATCATTTGATGAGTTTTAAGAAATATCATGACCCTCCCCCTCAGAGTTGGACAAGTGGTCTGGGTGGAACATCATTGTGGTTTTCAGGTGGTGCTCCAGGGGATTCAAAAGTGAGGCCAGTGTTTAGCTGAAGGGCTCTGCCCGAGTGCAGTCGTGAGAGTTGAGAGCAGGCTTTGGTCCAGGGCAGATAGCAGGGTGCTCTGTCGGGAATGGACGGGGCAGGGAGCAGCCCATGTTCTCATTGCTGGGTTGGAATTGGTGCACATCTGTGGTAGGGGAGAGTATGGGAAGTCAGGAGAGAAAAACTCAATGTGGTCTTCATGTAGGAGCTCATTGTTTCTGAATGTCTCCTGTGACAAAGGACAGGGGAGTGTGACATTTTTCATGACTTCAAGGTCCTTCTGCCTATGAGTGTGGTGAAATCAAGGCCTATTCTCAAGATGCAGGTGTGATTCCTCAACATAAAGTCGCCTGAGAAAACATCCCAGAACTGGAGGAGGAAGAGGACACAATGGCTGCTTCTCAGGTAAATGCTCGGCCAGTTCTGTGTTTGCTTTTCCTTCTAAAATTCATGGATTTACATGCTGGAGACATATATATATATATATATATATATATATATATATATATATATATATTTTTTTTTTTTAATCTTCACCCGAGGATATTTTTCCATTTATCTTCAGATAGAGTGGGAAGGAAAGAGAGAGAGAGAAACATCAATGTGAGAGAGACACATTGACTGGTTGCCTCCTGCACAACTCTGATTAGGGCTGGGGACGAACTGTAACCAAGGCACAAGCCCTTGACCAGAATCGAACCCACGACTCAGTGGTCCGCAGGCCGACGCTCTACCGCTGAGCCATACCAGCCAGGGTGACTTCTCTATTTTTGATGATCATTCAAAGCAAGTTTGTTTTCAACTACTTACTTTTTTTCTTATAATTATACAAGTTCCCTGTTTGAAATGTTACTAGCATTTCAGGATTTTGGCTTCCCCAAGATTGAAATCAAGAGGAACCACCAGAGAACTTTCTGGACAAATTTTATTAGGCCTATGCTTGAGCATAAGACAACACAGAAGAAGGAAGGTCCTCTGAAGCTGCTTTAGTAAGCTTGGGACAAAGTAGGAGGGTAGCTTGAGAAAGGCCTGATGGTGGAAATTTTCATTTCAGGGTTGGGTGACTTTCTTTTCCAACAGGGTTAGCTGGTTGTTAGTGCCTATACTATACAGGAAAGATGACGCTGTGGTTCACTGGAGTTACCCAGGAAGGTCATAGAGCAGTCAGAGCTTGATCAATTGCTCATGTGCATCAGCAGTTTCAACATCTGCAAGGAAGCAGGCATTTAGGAGGGAGATAAAGTCACCTACCTCTGCGTTTTTGTCCCACAGCTTTCTGTCCATTGTCTCCAACCAGTTCCCCTGTAGCACATGAAGAACTCTCACCATAAACTGATAACCATTGTTGTGGGAGGATGATTCTTCTACCTTCAAGGTTCTCTCAGCTGGTCTAATCATATAGACATGATATGTATGGGAGTTGCACATACTTGAGAGAGTCAGAGACCCCACGTGCACTAGAGGTTCCGAGACTGAAAGGGAAAACTGGTGTATAAGACATTCTGAGCCTGGCATGAGGTAACATACGTTGGGACTTCAGAAGATTATTGATGGGAGATCTGATGTTCAGGAATTATTAGCTTGCCTACCATCTAGATAGGTAAAAAGTCGTCTTTTTGTTTTAACACGTATTATTGGCCAGACTCTGAATTAAAATTCTTCCACATAGTTAAGGTGGAAGAGCAAAAGTTTTTCTTGAGCCCACAGGGTCTTGGTACCTTTAGCTTAACATAGTCCACATACTATTGAAACACACCTAGGAGTCCTTGTTCTAAACCCCTACACCTTTCTTCTTACATTCTTATTTCCATTCTTTACATTTCCAGTGGCTGTGAACATTCATGAAGGTTTTGTCTGTATTGGTCTGTGTGCTTTTTGACATTCTGGATAAAGTTTGGAATAATACCCAGGCTCTACCATTTGCTGGATGTTTTACAAAATAGTCTTATAAAAAAGGAGGAATAGCCCTGGATCTGTTGGTTGAGCACTGACCCATGCACCAAGAGGACACTAGTTTAATGCTGGTCAGAGCACATGCCTGTGTTGCAGGCTTGATCCCTGGTAGGGGATGTGTGGGAGGCAGCCAATCAATGTTTCTCTGTCATAGATGTTTATATCTCTTCCTCTCTCTCTAAAATCAATAAAAAGATATTTTTAAGAAAAGGAAGAATAATATTATTGTTCTTTGATTACTTTTGAGATTTTTTTTTTTAAATCCTCACCTGAGGACATTTTTCCTTTTTTTTTTTTTTTTTGGTTCAGATAGAGTGAGAGGGACAGAGAGAGAGAAACATTGATGTGAAAGGAACACATTGAGTGGTTGCCACCCACATGACCCAACCAGGGCCGGGGACAAACTGCAACTGAGGTATGTGCCCTTAGCAGGAACCGAACCCGGGTCTCTCTGGACCGTGGGCCGACGCTCTAACCGTTGAGCCAAACCAGCCAAGGCGAGATTTTTAAATTAATATATACAAAACTGTTAGAACAATATATTAAAGAAAGACTGTGTTTGCTAGGTTTACTCATCTATGAGATGTGTAAATTCCATGAACCTGTTCAGTCAATGTCTTGTATATGATTTTTTCCTCCTGTGTTTACTTCCTCTGTGCTATGTAAAGGCACAGCACATGGACCAGATGCATTAGCATCTGTAGTAATAAGTGAGCTGGTTAAACATGAGGAAACTCAGTCCCCACCCCAGAACTTATTATAATTTCAGAAGTATTGTACAGGTCTCACTCAGAATAACTTTCACTTAAGAAATATATGCACGTTATCCACTATGATTCAAACTTGGCACTCAAAAAATGGATATGCCTGTGTTGATGCCTTCATTTTTAAAAATTTGTCCTCCAGAAAAGTAAAGCTTCTGCAGTGGTTTTGTGGATCAGATGTCATCCTTCTTCCTCAAAATAATTAGAGAACATTCATGTTAAAAAGATCTTATGGGATAATTCAGGATACTCTCCTTGGTCAAAACCAGTTCTGTTAGTTCTGTTTTCATACTGGGTGGCATTATGACCTCTTCCCATGGTCACTAGAGTACTGTGTTTGTGTTTTCACCAGAAAGTGTTGACATTCAGTGATGTGGCCATAGAATTCTCTCAGGAGGAGTGGGCTTGCCTGGACCCAGCTCAGCGGAACCTGTACATGGACGTGATGTTGCAAAACTACAGGAACCTGGCATTCCTGGGTGAGGACCACTTCTGAACAGAATTTTTGCTCCACCCACAGGGTTTTGTTTTCTTCATTAGTACAAAGTCTGGTGGGAGCTTCTGATTTGTATGACAGAGTTTCAGATCTGTGTTCTCAAGGAAAAAGTTGGTGGTTTGCTAGTGCAGAGAAGAAAGGCTTCAGGATGTACTTGGAGGTGGAACTCAGTGACTGAAAACCTTAAATGTTCAAAGGTGGTATCAGGAAATTATATTTGGGAAATAATTTTTCAGAATATTCTGATATTCTTCGATGTCCTATTTTCTCACTTGAACACAGGACTGGATTGGAAATTGGAGAATGTCCTTTAAAGCTCATGTTCTTTTTTCTAACAAACAGGTCTTGCTGTGCCCACGCCAGACTTTGTCACTTTTTTGGACCACATGGAGGAGCCCTGGGAGTTGAAGAGAAAAAAGACACTTTTCATCCACCCAGGTAGGTGGAAATGAAGCAGATTACCCAGGTGAGTGTCCAAATGTCATGCAGGAAGCCAGACCTTAAAATATGGGTTGGGGAGATTGACTTCAATGGAAATGATTTTTGAGAGGGTGATATTTCTGTTTCTATGTTTGAGGGACAGATCCTTTTCAACACTTACACTCTGACGTCATCTAAGGATTCTGCTTGTACTCCTGTGATCTTTCATCACACTTGCAGTGAGAGCCAAAGTCCTCCCTGCGCAGTGTGAGGGTGACATGACCTGGCTACTCTTGCATTTCTTTGTGGAACCTGGGAAAGTCTGTGCACATTCTGTGTTGAACCAATTTTTAGTCTGTTTTCTGCCTCATGTAAGTAGTTTGTGAGGGAAATGGTTGAGATACTGGAATTTGGTTCACAAATCCAGGAACACCAGGGATAGGTGTCCAGCTTGTCTTAATTTTTCTTCTGCTTGATCAGTTGCTGATATTTCTGCCGTATATTTAAATTCAGGTGCTATGTTCTTCAGCTCCCAATATCTGTTTGGTTCTTTCTTACACTTTCTGTCTCTGCATTTTTATTTTTGTCATGCATAGTTATGATGGTAATGTTTAATTTTTTGTGTTTTTTTCTGTAGTGTTCAATTGAGTCATTTTAAGTTTTTTTTTTTTTTTTCCATTCTTTGTCAGATTATTTACAGATCTTAAGTTAATGAAGGGCCAATTTTTGGAGATTTATTTTGTTCCTCTGTTTGGACTGTTTTTCTGTTTCTTTGTTAGCCCTGTGATCTTTTGTTGCTATTTAAGGTCATGAGAAGCAGCTGCCATCCCTTCTTTATGAACTTGCTTTGTACAAGAAAACACAAATAACAATCAGCTGTGGTAGATTTATAATGAATGACCTCTCAAACCTATTCTGGAAAGTGTAATCGGTGTGTGTAAATAATTTTTTATTTTTCAATTACAGTTGACAAACTATATTGTATTAGTTTCAGGTATACATTCCAGTAATTAGACATTGTATAATTTACTAAATGATCAACCTGATAAATCACGTACCCATCTAACAATATGCATAGTTATTAGAATATTATTGACTATGTTCCCTGTGCTGTACTTTACATTTCCATGATTTTCTACCAATTTATACTTCTTTTGTTTTGTTAATCCTCATCCAAGGATATTTTCCCATTAATTTCCAGATAGAGTGGAAGGGAGGGAGTGAGGGAGAGATAGAAAGAAACACCGGTATGAGAAAGACATCAATTGGTTGCCTCCAGCATGACCAGGACCAGGGCCAGGGATCGAACCTGCCACCCAGGTATGTGCCCTTGACTGGGAATCAAACCCACCCTTTGGTCTGAGGGCCGACCGTCTAACCACTGACCCAAACAGGCCAGAGCCCAATTTGTACTTAATTCCTCATTTTTTCCATCTATTGGATTCTTTTTCCTATTTGCTGTTCTGAAGGGTGTTCTTGTTTCCTTATATACTCAATCACTGTTTTGATTCTTGGCATCATCTACTCTACGTTTGATTTTCTTTAAATTATTCTTTACTTAATAGTGTATGCATCATTTGTGAGTGGATTATTTTGGTGGTTTTCATGTCCTTTCTTATGTTTTTGAAGTTCTAAGTTCATCTACTCTTCCTGTGAGTTCATTGAGCATCTTTATAACCAGTGTTTTGAATTAATAGATTGCTTGTTTCTGTTTTGTTTAACTTTTTCTGTAGTTTTGTTCTGTTCTTTCATTTGTGACATGTTTTTCTTCTCATTTTGGATAGATCTTTGTGCTAGTTTCCATGTATTAGGTAGAGCTGCTAGGTAGCCTAATGTAGTAGACGTCTTGTAGCATTCAGTGGCACAGCCTTCCTGTTCACCTGAGCTGGGAATGCCAGCTGCACCCCAGCACATGGGCTGTTTTTGAGCCTTTATTGCTGTTGAAATTTTAATGGGAGGGATTTACCCCACTGCTCATCAGCCGAAAAAACTGGCTGTGACCATTGTGGAGGATCAGTTATGAGGCCTCACCCTGCAGAGCATACTTATTTCAGTGGGGTTCTGGCACCTGCTGAGTCTGCCCCTTGAGTTTGTCACTTGTAGCAGTGGTTTGGATGGTGCTTTGACTTGGTTTGAATCTGTCCACCAGGTGCGCTGGCCCTGGGACCTGCCCGGATGTGAAGGCCAGGGTCAACCACTACCTGTGTTCTACCCAGGGTGACCAGGCATGGTCTACAAAGGGATTTGCTTATGGCTGCTACTTGTGCTGAGGATGGAGGGTTCTAAGTAGAGGTCAAGGTGTGCAACACAGCCAGCTGCCACTAGTGCTGGGCCTAGGGCCAGTAAGTGAGAGATGTGACTTACCTTGAAGCCAGATGCTGCTTGTTTGGGAGATTGTAGTAAAATCGGATCCATGAGCTATGACAGTTTGTATAGACAAGCCACAGGAAACAGGTTATGAAGGCCTGCAAGTTGATGGAGCTGGGTCCCAGGAAATCTTAAGGATGTAGCAAACAGGTTGATGGAGACTCAGATATGGCACCTGCCTGCCAGCTACACTGGGGAAGAGCTCAGGAAAGAAACCATGGCTTCTACCAAAATTTATGTCTGGGAGAAAGCTCCTTCTCCAGCTCTTTTCCTTATGCCAGACAGTTCAGTTCCTCCCTGTGTGTCTCTGTTGTCTTTGGAGCTGCTGCCCCAGTGCTGGAACTCAGAGGGCATGTGTCTGAGTAAGTCTGTGCATGAGCCCTTTAAGAGGAACTGCCTAAGACTAAGGAGTCTCTCCTCACTCAGCCACAATCCCCATTATTTATTTTTTTCTTTTCCTTTTTAAATTCTCACCCGAGGACATTTTTGCATTTATCCTCAGACAGAACGGGAGGGAGAGAGGGAGGGAGAGAGAGAGAAACATCGATGTGAGAGAGACACATCGAGTGGTTGCCACCCACACGACCCCAAGCGGGGCCGGGGACAAACTGCAACCGAGGTATGTGCCCTTAGCAGGAGCCGAACCTGGGTCTCTCTGGTCTGTAGGCTGATGCTCTAACCGCTGAGCCAAACCGGCCAGGGCCCCACTAGTTTTTATAGCAAGAGTAAGAGGGCATCCCTTCTTGGAATTGGAACTCTCAACTGACAGGCCTGGTGTGGGACTGGGATCCTTCACTGCTCAGATGTGACCTCTGCAGCTGAAATCTCACTTGTGATTTTTATCTACTACATGGGCCCAGTCTATTCTGTGGCTTTGCACCTTGTACCAGTCTTGATGGGCCTTCTTCTTTATGTCCTTATTTGTAGAACTTCGATCAGCTAGGTTTCAGAGGTTCTGAATGATGGTTGTTCTGTAGTTTAGTTGTACTTTTGATGTGGTTGTGGGAGGAGGCGAGCACCTCACTTACACTGCCACCTTGTTCAGAACCCTGTGTGTGTTTATGTTTTGTGTAACTTCCCAGTTTAAAACATATTTTGCTTTTATTTAGAGCCCATGATATCTTCCCATTCCTGATATCTTTCTTTAGTCCTGCAGTCTTTCTGGTGCTTGAAAAATTACTCACTTCCTGTCTTAGCATCCACCTCGATATTGCCATTTTCTTAGGAATCTGTGTCATTCAAAACTGAAACAAGTCCCTCAGATTGTTGCAAAAAAAAAAAAATCCAGACCATCAGACACACAGTACACTCTTCTATTTCTCTTCTAAGAAAAAACTGAGAATTGAAAATTATCCCACGGTCATTTTGTAGTGTACCATAAAGGGTGAGCAGGTATTGTGGGCAAATGTAACCCACTTTTTTTCCATCTTTGATATGAATCTTTATTTTTGTGCTTTTTGGGGGTGTTGTGGTCTTTGAACTGGCTTCTAAAGTACTGTACTAGGTAATTGGGTTAGTCATTGTTGGTAATTTAACATCTCCGTGGAGGAAGAAAGTATTAGTGCTTCCTATTCTGCCGTCTCACTGAAGATTTTTTACAGGTGTTAATTCTGTACATTAGAATGTAGAGAACATTTACCTGAGTGTAGTATTTGATACTTAATTTGGTATATTTCAGCTATGTCTTCTCCAGTCACCAGACCTTGTTGCAAAAGTCAAGCATAGAAGTTTCATTCTGCAAAATGCTACAGGTAAGATATAGCAGGGATGGCATTTATAATTTACACTTAATGAAACTTTTATTATGTGTGTGGGGGGGAATTTGAAGAGAAAAAAGGATGCTATGCTTGATGTAAACAAACTGGGGAAAGCATCCTTAACAAAATCTTTGTTGCCTAAACAGGTTAAGGATATAACATGTTTTTAATATTTCTACTTCCCATCAGTTATATTGGCAGAACAATGTGTTTCTAAATGTAAAGACCCGAGAAATTAAAAATAAATAAATAAAGGATATTCTCTGCCCTGGCCAGTGGGCTCAGTTGGTTGGATTGTCTTTCTGCACACTGAAAGGTTGCGGGTTCAATTCCTGGTCAGTAAACAAAGCTACCTTGTGGATTCACTCCCCAGTCAGGGTGCACGCAGGAGGCAGGTGATCAGTGTTTCTCTTTCACATCAGTGTTTCTTCAGTCTGTCTGTATCTCTCTTTCTCTTTCCCTTTCTTCCCCTTTCTGTCTAATAATCAATAAGCATGTCCTTGGGTGAGGATTAAATAAATAAATGAGTACATGTTCTTTGAAGTGAAATGGGAATATCAGAGAAGTCACCTAGTCCATGGTACATTAAATCATCCTAAAAATAATTTGGTTTGATTAAACACTCAAATATTTCAGAGAATCAGATCATTTATAAAACAAAATAAAATTTATAACTGAATTTGTAAATACCTTAACCAAGATTGCATTATTCTTTCATTGAGAAATATTGTTCATTGTTCCACAATCTATAGTTTTCGTAAACATGGGAGCATGTAAATACACCCATCATGGTTCAGTAGGTATCAGAATAGGTAACTGAAAACAACTTCACATGTGCAATGATATTAGAGCCCTCCCTAAAAGTTTTTCTCTGTTCAATGATTACAGAGTACATATAATGAAGAGGG